AGTTGTTAGGACGATACCTTTTCTTGGGAGATTTTTTAAGATTTTGCCAGTTATATGGTCAAATTTGGGAGCTTTGTGTGGGTTAAGAAGTCTGATTTCATTGCGGACTTTACTCAGTGAGAAGTATTTCAGTGGTAGTGACAACTGACAGGGGGCATTAAGGAAGGCTCTAATTTCATCGTCATTGATATCGTTAGGTTGTGGGGCGAAGAAAACAGTTGATAAATGTTCTGCGACTCTATTGGATTTGTCTGGATCAGACCGAGCCCAAGTTCCGTCGATTTTTTTAATTGGAGATTTGGCTACTGTTGGTTTCTTAAATTTTTGTGGCTTTCCAAAGGGAGTGGTCTTTTCAAGAGATAGGTTGGTAACATATGTTTTAAACGATTCGTTTTTATCAGTTTGGATAACACAGCGAATTCTGCGTGGGAGTCTGTTTAGATTTGTTTTATCTAACGGATTTCTTGTTGTTTGCCATTTACGACGGGCTCTTCTCCTATCTTCCACTAGTGTTCTAATGTGGTAAGGTATACTGCATCTTTCGTAAATTATTTTTTCATTTACAGGAGTAGCTTCCCAAGCGGCGCTTTGAATTTGTTCTGTTAGGTATTTTACAGCTTCTTCAATGTAATTTTTGTCTTTGAGTCGTATGTTTAGAGATATTTTTTCATTAATTTTATCATGAAACTGATTCCAATTTGTGTTTCTGGAGCAGAGCCTTGGTGCAGGTATTTTCCAAATTATACTAGTATTTAAGGTTATTTTGATAGGACTGTGATCCGAGTGTAAATCGAAACTGGGGGCGATGTTGCTGTGTATTTCAGATATACCTTTAGTTATGGCGAAGTCTAGTAAGTCAGGAATTTTATTGTTATCGGTAGACTAGTATATGGGGGTACCTGTTGATAAGTATTTTTGGTTTTTCTTGAATGATTTTTAGTAGAGTTCTGCCATTTGAGGTTATAAGTCTTGCTCCCCAGGTGGTGTGTCTGGCGTTTCAGTCGCCTGCTACTAGGAAATAAGATCCAAGTTGTCCAAAGAACTCTCTGTATTCCTCAAGATTCATGAAGTGGCATGGCGGGCTGTAGATTAAAGCTATTGTTAATGGACTAGTGAGCACATTCACTTCTATAATAGTTCTCTGAATTTTATTGGTAATATATTGTGGAAGTCATAGTGTTTTATAGGTGTTCGAATTATTATAGCTGAGCCAGCATGGGCTGTTCCATCCGGATGGTTAGCGTAGTAAACAGAGTAATACGGGACTTTAATGAAATACCTCTCGGTTGTGTGACTCTCAGAGATGAGTAGGATGTCTATTTTGTTTAGTTTTAAAAATAGTGTGATTTCTTGTACATGATTTGTTAAACCATTTGCGTTCCACTCAGCTATTCTTAGTGAGTTAGCCATTAAGATGTTTTATTTATCACGGTTGAGAGCATGCTTAAGATCATGATATTTTGATTGATTAATTGTGCAAACAGGTCTGAATTATTGTTCGCTTGAGGGAGAGTATTTGGTGGAATGTTTGAGTTATTTGCTGCTGCTGCTGCTGCTGCTGCTGCTGCTGCTGCTGCTGCTGCATGAGCATATGTTGTGTGTGGTTGCTGTGTTTGGACATTAGGGTTATTTGAAGTGTTAGTTCTAGGTCTGTGAATGCTATTTGTTATATTCTTGTTTTTCGAGTTTATTAGGTCTTTATATATAGCACACCCTTTATAGTTAGCTGGATGGTTGGCTTTGCATAAGGCACATCTTGCAGGTGTGTCGCGTGTTTTTTTACAGGCTTTTGTGTCATGTGCTCCTCCGCATTTAACACAAGAGAATGGCCTCATGCAGTAAGATTTTGAGTGCACGTATTTTTGGTATCTAGTGCATTCAACTATTTTATTTTTTATTCTTGGTGGTTCTACTGTTATTTTACAGTGTAGTAGGTCTTTTAGGTTAAATATGTCTTTTTTGTTTTCAACTGGTTTTATATCTACAAAGAATAGTGGTAGCGGTTCTTTACTAACTCTGTGTCTGACAGTAATTATATTGCGAACTTTAAACCTTTATTGTTTAGTTCGTTCGAGATATCTTCGGTTTGTATTGAATGGTGTAATCCTCTTATGACAATTCTATAAGCCCTCTCTTCAAGAATACACTAGAAAAGTGCAAAAACGTACTCTTGGAAAATGAAACTAAAATGCTTCAGACTCAAGATTCATTAAAATAGAGGGAAAGCGTGACTTGTCTGATGGGAAACCAGGTTATCTTCGCTTCGCAGGAAGGACCACAAGAAAACATCTTTCAGAAAAAAGATAATGTCGGAAGTTCACCTATTAGACCGAGAGTAGATAGCTTAAGCAGAAAGAACAACTGGTAACATGGAAGCTATATAGTTAGGCGATGATCTAGCAATTTTTCTTGATCCTAACCTAAACAAGAAAGAAAAAACAACGAGAGAATGATAAATAAATTTAATGCAATACATACTCTATTAGATGAAGGACAAGTGAAGATTGTGAATGTCCAAATTGAAATCATCAGCAGAAAAGGAGGAAGCTATAATTTACATGCGCTGTTTATGAGAATGCATGACAGCGGCATAGTAGATGACGAAGTGGTCTACAAAAATGGTAAAAGTCTGGCAGAAGAAATCGTTAAACTGGACAAAAAAAACTAATAATGTTTTAGTACCTGTATTCCTGGAAGAGGATTATATAAGAAAAAGCTTAAAATACGCGTTGAGAGACTCGGAAAGTAAAGCAATAATAATTACAAACTCAAAAAAGGCAAAGGCAAGCAGCAAATCAGAGATAAACGGGGCCAGAAGTAGAAAGGAGGCTGACAAAATAATAGTAAAAGGTAGTGGCGGTTTGCCCGTAAGGGCACTTGGACACGTGCCCTAGTATAATAAACCAAAGAAAAGAAATAACTTACATATTTTATATTTTCCTCAATGTCTATTAATATTTTATCTAATATTCAGCGCAAATCGCGTTGGCACGACACTGGACGACCGGGCGTTTAGCGACATTCCACAAATTCCAAAATTAAGTGGAAGGACACAGGGCACAGTAAATGTGTGCCTCTGTTGTTTTCTCTTTCATTATGATGCGAAAAACAAGGACAACGACAATATTGCTTAGCAAGAGATAAACACATGCAATGGATTTTACGTCACAAGAAGGGCGCCGTCCTCATTGTGACGGCACAGATTACCTAGACCAGATACGAATGTACGCAGCGGCATTTTTACCGGCGATGCCAATTTCGGCTAAAGGTGCGCGTTTTTTGGACCATGATAATAATTTATTTATTGTGATTACGAAAAAATGTTAGTTGGACCATTGGAGTAGTTAAGAAATAAAATTACAAAGAAAAATAACTTTTTTTCATGAAGCAGTCAAAAATATGAAAAAAAAAAACCATAATAATTATAAATGGGACAACATTTTAATTTTTCTTTAGGTTTTGTCTGACTTTTTCGAGGATTTCAAATTTCTTTTTGCATATTTAAGAGTATAAAAAAATTCTGAGTCATAAATAATTTAATGGTGTACATTTTCGCAAATTGTTGGCAAGGATGACCATATTCTATTTTGCTCATCTCAAAAAGGTATGCGTTGGAAATTCTAGGCTTAGTTGACAAACTATTAAATAGAGATATAAATATTTTTTCTAATTTGAAAATATAAAAGAGAAATTTTTCGCTGGGAGATTTTAAATTTCCAAACATCTTTTCTTTAGAGTAGTATGCTTTAAAATGCATTAAGAAGTTAGAATTGTTAAGTAAATTGCATTCTTCTGAGAAATTAACGCAAATTTCGCAAGAGTGGATATGTAATGATTTTTTGATTAAATAGCCACATACATAGTTAAATGCATTTTGAGTGGTCACATTTAGCTCCCTGTAGTCACATTTAGAAATCGTTATTGCCCCAACTGATTGTTTTGAAATATACTCGCATTTAATTTTCATTAAGCGGAGAACTTGTTTTTCTAAGGGAAAAACGAATCCCGGGATTCCTTTCCAGTGTGTGCCTCACTGCCGCTAGTGCCCACGAGCCGCCACTGGTAAAAGGTCAAGGTAAACCATATGCGGAACGATTAAGTAGCGTTAAAAATAGCGTTAATATTGAAAAAAGTGAATAAGAATAGAAAAGGTAAGGAAAACAGATAAAGTGGACTTAGTTCTTCAGGTAGCAGGGCAAGAAAATGCCGTAAAACTAAAAAATACAATCAAAAACGGAATGGGATATATTGAACTGTTCCATAAAACAAGCGACACGGTTCTGTACACTTCGCGTCATAAAAGTGGTACAACTCTTATAACAAAAAATCGTGCCATTCAAGCTGTGTAAATTGATTTTTTAAAATGTGTCAAAGTTAAACTACTTTTTAGATTACAATTTCTAGAACAACGTTGACAGCACAACGAAAATATTAGTAGATGCAATGATACAAATAATCTTTGTAAAGCAATGAAACGAAATGGAAAAATTAAAAATATAATGCAATCTAAAATTAATAAGATTGAAATTTAAATACATTTGACAATTCGAAACCGATGAAATAAATAATTAAAATATAGATCCACAATTCTTTAAATCAGTTTTTCTAATAATTATTGAACACTTTTGTTACTGAAGCATTAAAGTTTCAACTTTTGCCTATTTTGCCGTAAATAATTAGTAAATGTTTCATCTTGTTGTGCTATAGTTATAAATGGTCTTCCAGTCTCTCTTTTTCTATTTACAATTTGATTGTTTCCCATTTTTGCAGAGCTGTTAATCGTGGTTTTCGCATTTTATCAAATTTACTCAAACGATCTGACATCGTAACAATGCAATTTGACAAACTTGACAAATCTTACTGTTTGTCATTTTCAAAAGTAAAGTTGATTTTACATTGGGAAAAATAAGTGTACCACTTTTATATGACGCGAAGTGTACATAACTGATATTAAATCTGACATCAACGAGGAAGGACTAAAAGTAGAATTGAAAAATTATATGAGAGAACAAAATTTAAATTATATTTCTGAGACCGATGAGATCAGGAAACCAAATTGCTGCAATAAAATTAAAGAAAAAGGCAGCGGTAGAAATGCTCAGAATTGGAGAAATAAAAATAGGATGGGAAATATGCAAAATAGGGAAAAAACGATACTACAAAGATGTTTTAAGTGCCTTGGATATGAGCATCGAATAGAAGAATACCAAGGAGAAGACAAAATCGATATTTGTATCAAATTCGCAAAAATAGGACATAAAGTAAGAGACTGCACAAATCCTCCCCACTGTACGCATTGCAAGGAAGATAGACATATAGCTGACCAAATGAAATGCCCTTGCTTTAATAAATTAATAAGATGAAGAAAAAAGAAACATGGCTAGAAGAATTACCTACAGGGGTAGAAAGGACTCGCTAGACGAGGTCTTCGAAGAAGGCAAAATTCATTAAAATTCAAGCTCTTACAAACCAACTTAAAAAGAGGGAAGGCGGTCCATGACATTATGTTTACAGTAGCCATGGAAAAACAAATTGATCTCATAATACTATTAGTACCGAACAAAAAAATAGCCAAAAGTAAGGGCCTCATCTTGGAACAAAATGAAGAAATCGCAGTACAAATTATTAAAAAAATATATGGGTATAAGAGAACATGAGAACATATTAGACGGGATTATGACGAAAGCTAGGGACTCAAACAAAGAGATAATAGTAGCCGGAGGCCTAAACTCTAAATCACCACTTTGCGGACCACCAAAAGCAGACAGAAGAGGCGAATACCTTGGAGAATTAAATTTAACATTTTTAAATACAGGCGAACCAACATTCACATGAGACGATTCCAGGTCACATATAGACGTGACGTGCGAAACCCAGGCAATGACAAAAAAATAGAAAAATGGTAACTGCTTTCATTCAAGATACCGCAAAAAGAAACTAAAATAACTATAAAATAGCAACTGTTGGCCAGAATTCTTTCAAGGAAATCATAGAAAACGAGATGAATGGGCAATATGGAAACGTTAAGTCACTGATGAATGACATTCAAAAGGCAGTTAAGTACAGCACCAAATACGCTAATATCGAAAGGAAAGGTTTTCCATATTGGTGAAATGATGATACAGAGAAGAATCGAACAGAATTTATAAAAGCCAGAAGGAAAATAACCAGACTCAACGCCCGATATGGCAACAGGGATGGCAGATCGATAAAAGCAGAAGAAGTCTACAACAAATTAACAAAAGAACTTGGAAATATCATAAACAGATCAAAGAGAGCACACTGGAAGAAACTAATAGCAGAACTAAACATCTGGGGCACGGGTTACAGAATAGCTATAAATTAAATTAGCAACTTCAGCACGCCTTATATACTACGAAGGACCAGAAGATAAAATGATATAAACTGTTTCCAATCTCTGAGGACAAAACAAATAGATGTATTGAAGTATCAAGTTACGAGTTTGAACCACTCACTCACCGTCAACTAATTGAAGCCAGTACCTTTATAAAACCAAAAAGAGCACCAGGACCTAATAAAATTCCCGCGGAAGCCATAAAGATATTAGTAGGAAAGATATTTTCAATAAGCTACTTAGAGAACAACAATTCCCAAAAATCTGGAAAGAGGCACGAAATATGCTAATTTCGAAGGTCAAAAGAACTAGAACATGGGTCAATTGACCTAAAAGAAGCCTATCTACTAATACATATTTATAAAAATAAAAGAAAATATCTTAGATTTCAATTTTAAAATTCGCTTTATGAGTTCTTAGCCTTGTCGTATGGTATTATTAGTGGCCCACTAGTTTTCATAAAAATTTTAGAACCCACAATTTCACATTTGCGAAGTGAATATTTACCTCCACAGTATATCTAGATGATTTTTTATTATTTGGTTATACTATAATTGTTTTGATAACATTTCGAATACATGTAAATTATTAGAATAGTCAGGATTTTGTTTAAATACAGATAAGAGCCAGTTGATCCTTTCCAAACAATCTCGGCATTTAGAGTTTATTTTGAATTCTTAAGTCCATCCAGAATAAAAAAATAAATAACTTAAATATAGAAATTACTAATATTTTAAGAAAACAGAAATGTTCCATAAGAAAATTTGCAACAATAGTGGGCAAACTAGTTGCTGCCTGTCGAGCTATACCATTAGACTGGCGTTTTTTGGGATAAATTCCTTTGTACAGTCTTTAATAAATTGTGAAATTTGGATAACACCACTGCCACATCATACATTAATAGAAAGGAAGGTACCAAATTTCAGAATCTCAAAAATATTATCAGAAATATACGAATTTTTGCATCTTATGTAGCCTCAAAAGATAACATAGCTGACGATGCGTCATATAATTTTAACAGTGAGGCAGAATTTGAATTGTCTTACAAGGCAATGGCAGTAATAACTAAATTTGGTGCCCCAGACATTGACATGTTTGCCACCAAAATAAGTTCTAAATATCAGAAATGTGTATCTTGGAAATCACTCCCCGAATCGGTGGCGCCTGATGCCTTCACAATTTCTTGGTCCGGATGGTATTTTTATGCATTCCCTCCTTTTGTAATGATATTAATAGTGTTACAAAAGATCATATCTGATGGGGCAGAGGAAGTCATGGTGGTACCACAGTGGTCTTTGTAGCCTTGGTTCCCTCCCCAGCAAACATTTTCTATAACATTAGTTATAACTCGACTTTGTTAAAGACGAATTTACTTATTGAGGTAAATATTACGTAAAATTGACTAGAAAAATATACCTCTAATGTAAATTTACCAAACGGTTTTAATTTATATTTAAATTTACGTAAATTATACCAAAAATCTACCTTTTACACAAATCTGCTTAAAAGTAACTTTAACCATATCAGTAAGGGAAAAACTACTAAAAAAAAATAACCAACAATTACTTCAAAGTTAAATTTCCTTTGTAGTAAAATTAGGTGCCATATTTAGGTAATATCTACCTATTTGGCAACTAAAAATCGTCTTTATAGTAGAATATCCAACTAGGTAGATTTGGTTAAAAATTCTACGTAATTTTATGCCTCCATAGTAACCTATTTGGCCGCTTTTATTTACTCTCCTTTAAAGTAATATTAGGTCGAGATCTTTGCAAAATTCTACCTGTTTATCTACCTAATTTCAACCAAATAGTCGAAAACTCATTTAGTTGACCTATAAGTCATCTTGAAGAAATATTTATTAACTTTGTTGTAGCAATTACCTGAAAAATCTACCACAAAGTAAATTCGACTAAAAACCACCAATTTAAAAAGAGTCATATATGACCTATTTGTAAAATTTATATTATTTAGGTTATTTTAACAATTAGGTTGTTCAGTTACTGTCTTCGTCGTTATTCTTAAGAATTTCGGCCATTTAAAAAAAACCATTACAGTCGTAATCTTAATTTACGTGTGGTGTAGATAGAGCTTTAAATGAGTGCGAGAAATAATTAGTAAAATGAGTTCGAAAAATAATAAATCATATCGTTATACTTCCGATTTTTATCGTAAAGTGAAACGTCTAAAATCTCAAGTGCAGAACAACGTGACCTAAATATGTTATATTTACCTATAGGTAAATTTTTTATAAAACCTATAAGTTATTATTTCTTTAAATAGGTAAAGTTAACTAATATGTCGTGAAATTGAAGTTAATTCAACTTAATAAAAAGGTATTTGTAAAATACGTAGATTTCCTTAGTCATAATAACTTTTAGGTCGAATTCGCACAATACGCCATATTTTCTTAACGTAATTGAAGTACGATTCCAAATTTTAAATTTTTAAAATGACCATAACTAGAACATACGAATGAAAATACCGAAAAACGAAACATTATTGATTTTCTAAAGTGATATACAACAAACGTAACATAGTTTTAGCTCATAATATTATTATTATTTTTTTACACGATCATATTTTTTTCTTATATTTTTTTAATTAGAGAGTATTTTGGAAGGGCATTGTTATTTTTCTAAGTAGAACTGTTAACATGCACGACAAAATTTTCTTCGCATTAATTTCAACAAGCGTATTTTTGTCACCGACATTTATTTATTTTCAATATTTCATGTGAATTAGGTATATGTTTTAGTTGTGTTGGTGACTTCTTACAATATTTCTACTTATATATAGATAAAAATACCAAATAAGTATAAAATTTCTTTTCATACACTTGGAGGCATACGTCATCTGCAAATATTTTGGTAGTTTCTACCTAAACTTAGTTAAATCAACGTCGAATTAACGTTATACTGACGTCAAATTTCCCTAGAGAGGTATTACTAACCAAACGTACTGGGCTACTACAATGTGGATTTAGATGTAATTCTACCTATTTTGGTAAATAAAACCAAATTTCGACGTCGTCTTATTCTCCATTTATGTTGAATCCACGTCGAGCCAACGTAAATTTTACTTAATTATGGTTAAATTTAATTTTGCGACAAAATTTATTATATATAATTTAGGTAGTATCGACCTCAAATTACACCAAAATGTTTGCTGGGTCTCTTTCAGGAATTGCTTATTTCACCACCGCTAATATTTAAACATAGTAAAACCTAATCCTCTATGGAAGTCTCTAACGTTGATGGCAGGTCAATTGTCTGGGAGACCTTCAGCCGAAAAGGGTTGCCAGATGCAGCAATTGAAGTCTTGTTGGCTTCCATGATACCCGCATCTATGAAACAGTATTCTTCAGACTTAAAACAGTGGCGCGACTATTGTATAAGAAACTCGGTGAATATGTTTGAATTCTCTGTGTCCAATATTCTTATTTTCTTAACAGAAATTTTTCAAAATAATCGCTCTTATGGAACATTTAACTCTATTAGAGCATCTCTTTCCTTAGTTATAGGTCCTTAAGTAGGAAAGGATTATCAGATTAAACGATTTTTTAAATGAATATTAAATATAAAACCTTCTACTCCAAAATATGATTTTACTTGGGATCCATGTATTGTCTTCCCTTACGTTTATATACCCTAACAACATCTTATCTCTAAAACAACTTACTTATAAACTTGTTACTCTATTAATTCTATTCACAGGGCTGAGAATTCAGATAGTAACCTTCATAGAATTGGACAATATTTATAAAAAATCTGATGGTTAACAATTGAATATTCTTTATCGCATGTATCGCAGAATGCAACCTTTGCTACAGATTCCATACTTTAAAGAAAAGCCACCCTTGTGCGTAGCTATGGTTCTAGAATGTTACCTTGAACAGACTGAAGGCATTTGTGGATCAGAATCAGACATTACAACTAAGATACCAAATTGTTCACATTTTTATGTGGCAAATCATTATTCCTACCAGATTCTCGTTTATTGCGTCTT